AGTAGTAACAAGAAGCTATTAGAAACAAGTGCATCGCTACTAGTAACGAGAAGCTACTATATACAGTATCTTCTATATTGGAATCTTATCGTGACGCACTCAAACGAGCCATGCTGTGTCGGCTCCAAGGACCATCGCCCGGACTGTCGCACATCCTCCTGAGGCCCCTTCCCAGCTCCAGGTGCCGGTGGTACATGCCTTAAGTCATCCAGTGTCATCACACTGACAGCTCCGGACTGTCACAAGAACTTTGGGGGGGAGAACCTAATCGAATCAACATGATGACCTAATGATGACCCCTCAAAGCTGTTCAAGCAACAAAGCGAGCACTGGAATGGTTCAACATGATCTCGTCCCTTTCGTGAATCTGTCAAAAAGGGATCTCTAAAGCATCTGGTTCGGAAACGAATTCTTTCCCTTTTGACACGAACACACACACACACTACATCGCTACTAGGAAAAAGGGCATCGCTACCAATTAGTAGCGATGCACTTGTAACTAGTAGCTTCTTGTTGCTAGTAGTAAGGCAAAGAGCTACTAGTAGCGTGGCACTTGTTACTAGTAGCGATGCCAGGAGCCCCTAATAGCGTCCTTGCTCCTTGCTGGTTCGCACCACCTCAGATCCTCACAAACGTCACCGGACGGGGCCCATCCGCCTGCTAGCAGCTCAACGGACGAGGCCCATCCGCCAGCCCGACGCAACGCCGAGAGCGCCTCAGCCAATGATGGCCAACTGGATGGCAAACCCCGCGAAGCCATAGCCAAAGAGTTAATGGATCATTGCTACTGGAAGATAGTCTTGTTCTTACAAAAGTGTTGCGAGAGAGGCATTGATTTGGGCAACTCACTCAGATCCTACAACCTACAGTAACAAAATCATTTTGATTTGTTGCTAGTCGGCTGGTGACTAGTAAATAGAAGCCGAGCTGCCTCTTGTGACCTTTGCTTTACATTCGGGTATTTGTCATGATAAAGCTGAAACCAGTCCAAATGTCCTGCACACATGTATATAATGATGTTCCTGTCCTCAGTGTAAACCTGTAGTCATCCAGGGAACAACACTGCAGCACTGTTCATCTCCAAGGAATTGCAGCGCTTTGCTCCAATGATCATCTGCTGAAGCAGCCGCCACAGCATGCAAGCAAGATGCATCAGGCACAACCTGCAAATGGGACAAGCCAGATCATCCCAAAGAAGAAAATTTAATCCAAAAGACAGCGCTCCAGCCAACACACTGTTCAAATGAGTCCATCTTCACCACCAAAACACTGCACACACGTTCATCGTAAGGAAACCTCATCCTCCAAGACCTCCTCAACCATCTTTGACCCCAATTCGAATGGAAGTAGTAAAGGTCTCATTTGATAGTTGATATTGTCACAGTACCACTATAGACCCTGTGGATTACTACTGGACCTGCTCGACTGATGCATCAATGGGCCGTTCTATCAAATGTGCCCATACACCGAAACAAATGATCTCTGGACAACTTATACTGTATACCGTATACCTCTTTGTGGTTGCTGATTGAAAGTTTCCTTGATTCAGTTGCATCAAACAGTACTCAGTATGCGTGTGTGCTATGGCTATGTAACTATGTACAATACAAGGGTGTGGATCACAATCGGCCTGCTCATGTTGGTGCGGTCTAGCCAAAACCCCATGCTATCGGCTACAATGAATCCATTAGGACCTGATCACCTGACATGACATTGGCACCAGCTGGGAGCTGGGACCTATCTCAACAGGTTGTGAAAGGTCCTTTGGCTGTTTCTAGGCCGTCCGGTCCAAAATGAAGACCCTTGTGACCTTGCGGGATCCTCCATTCTCACGCCCAACAAAAAGGTGCCTGACGGACTGCACTCACTACTGACTCACTCTCACCCTTGTGAAAGCTCCCTTCCCTGATCCTCCAGGCCACTCTCTGACATCCCATCCACTCAAAAAGCTCCGTGCTCCATCGCCAATGCTGGGCCTGTCGGCCTGAGGCTTCGGCTCCACGCCGACAGAAACCGACCGTTGGGACGTTGGAACTCTCCGATCGCCTCCGTCGCAAGGTCAACTGCGACATATCTGAGAGACTAGCCCGACCAGCCGACATCAGAAACATATCAAGAATGGTTTGCTGAATGGCTACACTCCCGGCTGCCACCAGGCCTTCTACAAGCTTTGGGGTGATCGTTGATGCTCAGTATGGTTGAAACATGCTTGATGTGTATGAGGATGACAACCTCTCAGGGTTTACTGCGTATACTATACTTGAGATGTTCTGTATAAAGGGATTTGCGGCTAAATGGCTAATATATATATATATATACCTTGTGCCTCCAAACACGACAAAAACGTAGGGTTCATCCCAAAACACGAGGTTCTTGGAGAAAACACGAGGTTTCCCATTTTTGTGTTTTTTTTCCGCCCATGCCATCTTCGAAGGCCGGGCCACAGGAACTTGAATTCAAACTCAAAAAGCCCAGGTTGATGATCAGAACGAAAAAAATATCAACCAAAAATGCAACTATTGTACCCCCTAAAACCCGTGAAAAAAACACGGGTTGTCACGGTATAATCACGGGTTTGTCACGGGTTTGGGAAACATGATGTTTTTCTGAAAACCCGAGGTTTTTCATCCAAAATCACGGGTTGACACGGGATAATCACGGGTTTGACACGGGTTTGTCACGGGTTATCGGAGCTCTCAATAACGGACCCGAACTTTTCCTGACAAGAGTGTTGAATGTTTTTAACATATTGTGAAACATGTTTTGACCACGGAAAATTTGATAAGTCGGCGGGAGAAAATGCATATGGAGCACCTGCACATGGCTATCGAGGGTTTTGAGGCAAAACACGAGGATTTGGTTAAAAACCCGAGGTTTTCCCTTATGTCACGGCTAAACCCGAGGTTTGTTTTCAAACCCGACAAATTTGTAGGGTTCAGATGCTCAGGGTATATATGTATAAGTTGCAAGGATGGAGATGCAAAGTAGCCGATTCACTGGTCAGTCACGCTGAATCCCTCTACCATTCTAACACACCTGAAGGGTGGGAAATGGCGATAGAGCCAGACACGATTTCGTTGGATGTTGGGTATGGAACGTAACAGTTTCAAAATCCAACACCGAAGGAGTGCTGGGTAGCTTGTACCCAGGTACACACGACCATCGCCGAGCAAAGGCTGATGGTATCCGGAAATGCCAAAAGTGCCAGAGCCAAGGGCCACTCCCTGCAGTGGCAAAGCAGGGATCAAACAACTAAGAGAACCAAGCAAATTGTGATCAAATCTTGACTTCACTCACTAGTCTTGGGAGTTAAAAAGAAACCATGTGTTCCAAAAATGTTCACAAAATTTATCAACTAGCTTCTTCTTCCCATATATTAAATATGTGTTTGATGACTCCGTAATCACAGTGAAGTGATCAACCCAGTTCACAAGTAAAGCGACTCTGTGTTGATCCAATAAACAAGCTAAATATGTGGGTGGCCTAGTGCATCTTCAAAATTGTTTGCTGGTAGGGTTGCCTCAGGTGGGGTCCACTTCACTGGCTACATTGTAAGCTCTGCTGGCAACAGCTTCACATGCTTCACCTGATCCTTATCAAGTTGATTTCGATGGCGTTGGTTCCTGGTGTGGATGAAGCCTCGTCGGACTGCTAGAGTTCATTTCATGAATCGATGCTCATCCCTCCCAAACTTGAGATCAAATAATTCCACAAGAAGTCGAACCGTTCGAATCCAAATTTGCTCTCCCCAAACCGCCGTCATATTTGGGGCCAACATCATATGATGCTGCATGGATCGTGACCTTCAAAGGGCTGATAGACCTTCACCACTACCTTCACCATCTCCTGACCGAAACAAAACTCAGGGCGCCTGAGTTTTAAGGCATGGATGGCCACTGTGAAGCTCCGCGCAGTCCCCGTGAGGCCTGAGGCGCGGTCCCATCCGATGTGACGGATCGAAAGGATCTGGGTGGATCCAAAAGCACGCACATGGCATGTGTTTTTTGGTTTTTGAACCGCACGATGGCATGCAAAGTGATTGCAGAACTCGGGTCGAGTCTTGGGAGGTTTCATACCTCCACGTTTTGAGTCCGAGCCCGATACAAGTTTGATCAGACTTGGCAATAAGGACTCTGGAATGAAAGCAGGTCAAGAAGTCCTTTAGCTCACTTCTCTAAGCACGGATGTCCTCAAGCCATGGAACCTTCTGGCCGTGAGCCCCTTGGTCCGGCTTATCTTCCTCGCCGAGGCTCGCTGGGACGGCATCATTGCCAGCAGGTTCACTGTGACGGGCCAAAGGTTGCA